CAAGCTTCTCTGTGCTCACCTTGTAGACTTCATAAACTTCTGAATCGAGGCACTCCACTCGGGTTAACCGCAACCGCTGCTAGCTGGATATTGCGGTGGTATCTTTATAGTGCCGCTGTTGCATTTAATTCGGGCATATATAGGGACAGCAAATAAATTTCGTATTTTGGATCGTTAGTTTTGGATTTTGATCGCTAAGGCCATTTTGGCCGTACATAGTTGAGCGGGACATCTTAAGCCTTCATGCTGAACCCACTCCGATGAGACCACGGCGTAAACTTATGGGTCATATGACACTCCTGCAGTAAGGCGAAAGGAAATCCAGCTTACTTGTACTATGTCGTGGTGCGCGACCACAACAGTCCAAGCTAGCTCAGTGGTCAAGGTGTTAACTTACTGATGGGAAGGTCCGTGCTTCGAACCCAACCTTGGCATCACGATTGCTCCTGTCTAGGCTTGGGCTAGAAGTATCTGAACCCACGTTCTTCCTTTTGGTGGCATGACATCTAGGCACCGCAGGAGTGTTGCATCATTTTTTTCTCTTTAATTCTGGAGGTTGATTCTGAGTAGTCTGATAACGAAATGCAGCTTGAGAAAACTCTTGTCATAGATCTAGATGCTTTTTCACTCGTTTACACCGGATTCGCTGACAGGATAGTGGATTGTTCCGTTTTCGCCATCATTCATGTTACTGATGAACTCAGGTTCCTGTACCCGTGTCTCTGTTCTGAACACATCAGCGATAACGAACTCCTTACATGCCGACAGTATAAACTCTCATTAGTGACTTGTTAAGGATTCTTTGGATATGATATTCAGTGAACCTCTACCGCCCCTCGCAGTTTCACACAATCAGATAGAATGGTTACTCCTCGTTTTTTGAAGGCTAGCGTAAATAGACCGAATCAGGTAACTGAGAATCTATGGAAATTTATGGTGTCGCCATCTGATGTTTGAAGTATGGTCTCCGTATTCAGTGAAACGGTGCTGTGCACTAAAACCCCTACATTGTAAATTACGATGTGACTTTTTGTACCGTACGCTTACATTCCATGCTATGGTTATTCGCTGCCATCACTGGTGTTTACTGTTAAAGCATCCGAACATGCGCCGATTTTGTTTGTTTGCGAGATCATGGGTGTGCTACAGCTGTGCGTCTCCGGTTAAAAAACTGATGCATGTGCGCAGCCCTAGTATAGGAGATTGGTGGCGAATTGCGGCTAGTGAGAAGCAGAACATGTAGACAATCGCAGCCACTGGAAGGTGCCAATATTGCCATAAAGAATTTCGGGAATGTGCTGTACTCAGCTAGTATCGACCTGGCTCTTCATGCGAACTTACAGCTCAGGTGAGCGGACCAGGCTAAGCTGATGGATGCAGTTACACGTTACCCCGTCCTTCTCTGACTGCCTAATCTGACATTACCCTGCATAGTTTTCAAAACATCTGCCTGATTTACGGTCTTACCGGATTAGTTCTGTAGAGTCCATGGGGACCAATGGTCCACACTCACGCCCCATTATGCGGAAAACGCTTGTTTCAGCATTGCAACATTCGTTTACAAGACCGTTCAACTGTAACACCTTTTTGGTGCCTAGTTGCCATGCCACTCAAGGGAAGCACAGGGGCTGGGATACTGCCAGGTTGTCCAAGCCTATACAAGGGAAGTCGAGAGGCAGAGGTCAGGTTTGAACCATGGGCCTTCCGGCGGTAAATTCGCGCTCTAGCCCCTAACCCATCTCGCCCCTTCATTTACCTCCGATGCTCTTCAGACTAGAGATGCTGATCATAGGTTGGTGGCTCTTGAACAGTTCGCTGGCTGAAAGGCGCATTAATTTGGACGCGTCTGTTCGTGCTTGGTAGCCCGAATCCTGGCAAGTATTCCAGGCACTCTGACGGTCTACGGAACCTTACCAAAGACCACCGATTGCGATGTTATCGGTCTGAGTTCATCCTGGAAACAGCGTTAGGTTTCTAGGTCCCCTTGACGACAACCTGGCCAAAGTAGCTGGTCCGCGCACAGGTTCAGGAATTTATCAATATTACCACTCCTCGATGTGCCGCAACTTTGATCAGTTTTACACTAACTCATACATTGAACTCTGCTACAAGTGCTGTTCTCAAGTCGACGTTTACTAGAGAAGTGCGTCATTCTGGATAGAGGTTTTCTTGACCGGGCTTGCAGGAAAACCTGTTTCTGACACATTTCGCTCTTTCCGGAAAAGTTCAATTGTCTCAGAGCAGTATCCGCTGTTCTCAGGTTTCCATCCAAACAGCGTGGTTTCAATGTATCAGTCCAGAGCAACTCTGACACTAACAAGAACAGAGCTCGGATCACCACATCTCCTTAGGGGTAGTACATGACGTTAGAACCTGGTGACCGAGGTTTTAGGAGAACCCCACCTGCGCCGTATTATTATTATTATTTACCGTACAGACTAGTTTCTATCCAGGCCCACCAAGGTGAGACAGTTTGCCTTTTCAGCCGGACATCGAACTATGGAGAAGTAAGTGGGTGGGAACAAAGTGAGATTGCCTTCATTTGCCATATGGCTTTTGAAAACATTGCCTCAGTTATCCCAAGAATTCTAATGGTATGTAAATTCCGTTGGTTGTAATCTGCTTTGCCATAATAGTGAGCACACGAGTTGTTGCGAAGTCGTGTTTGTGGCGGACGGGATACTTCAAGATTGCTCACATCGAATTGCAAAGTTATAGGACTTATCTACAAGACTGTGTGGTTACATCAGGGGTCCGTGATCCAACGAGGGCCGTCTTGTACATTCTGTGGGTGGAGACCACCCATGATGCTCAGTGCTGTTTCCATCCACTGTATGCCATTGAGCAACATCCGACCCAGTCTTCATACGGTTGTGCGTCCACAGTGACCTTATAGCTGTTCAGACACTTTTTGAAATGTGGACAATGAGTCGGTAACTCATCATCAGCATTATCATCATCATTATCGTCATCATCATAACCATCATCATCATCAAGGACAGCAACATTAGTGTTGACACTGATTTTTCCGTGCCGTAGAGTCGCCCCTTGGCAGTGAAAAGGTATGTTTGGAAATCTAACTGAATAAGTGCCTATCTTGAGGTATCGCCGAATAGCTACTCAGTGCGTCAAGTAGTAGTTACCTTTACATGCGCCGTAGACGGATGATTGGTACCAATCTGATTTCAGCGCGTATGCAGTGTAGGACGGGTCTGGAGGTATGTAAAGTTATCAGCTATCACCGTTGGGTAAAATTTTCATTCCAGAAGATGTAGCAAAGTATTCTCATTGTCAGAAGGGTTCGCTTCTCCATGAGCCTCAATAGGAAAGTACTTTCTGAGTAAGCGGTTGCCAACTCCACACAGATGTTTCATCTTCCAGATGACAACTATGACACGTGAATTCCGCATATTAGTCTTTGGACAATTGACTGAGCTACTCTGTCTATCTTACTGTCTTGGCCTCCAAATTCCGTCTATAGCGTTTTGCTCTATTGTTTACTCTTCTGATACTGTGAATGTCGAGAACTGGTTTCATCATCATCATCGACAGCATGACATCAGTGTTCAACACCGATGCTTCATTGCCGTACAACCAAGATTTGTTTGAAAGCCTAATTGTAAAGAAAAGAGTAAAGGTGGACGGGGGAGAGACTTAGTGCTAGCTTAACACAATCATTCCAAGGTGCCTACACCTCCAGACATTCACTCAGGCAATCTGGATAGAAACTGACAACAAGAACGCCACTGACATCGGTTGGCAACCATATCTTGTAGTGTCTCCAACCAGGCACAGTGAGGATTACGCGGTCCCCATCCTGGAAGGCGAGTAGCAGCGACAGCACCCAAGCGTTTCGTGATCTCCTTCATACTCCTGTGCCAAGTCAAGGGTTGGCCACCTCTCTGTTTACGCCACTCTGAGTTGAGCATGGAAAACAGCACTCTCTTCGGCAAACGATGGTTCGGCATACGTAACACATGTCCCAACCAACGCAGCTTCTGGTGCTGGACACATTCTTCAATGGAAGTACCCGTTACACAACCGAAAACACGCTTTCTAACTGCCTCGTTACGGATTCGCCGACACCAACCCACACGAGCTATGGTTCTGAGACAACGATTGTCGAACACCTGAAGACGTCTCAGGTCCGCTGCTCGAATAGGCCAAGTCTCACAGCCATACAACAAAACAGCCCGTACTGTAGCTTGATACACACGTCCCTTCAGATTCAGGGATAAACCATTCTGACGCCATAGGTGTCTCAAGTTAGCAAACGCGGCCCGAGCCTTGCAGATTCGTGCATTGACCTCATCTGTCACACCACGATCAGAACCAATACAACTTCCAAGATACGAGGACTGGTTTACCTTGTCAAAGGTAGTTTTCAGGACCCACTGGGGCTAACAAAACAGATTTAAAACGCACATACCTTTATCCGCATATCCTGGAGGTCAGTAGATGTGAATATGTTCAGCTAGTGTAGGTTTGAGGTCAGTTAACTCTTTGTACTCTGTTTAGGTTTTCTAGAGCACATGACTGCAGACCGGCATTCATGACATTTTTTGTGATCGATCTGCATGTGTATTTTCTCGGGTTGCTATTTAGACGCTATCACTTCACCTTCCGTTTTCACGTTTCTTACCCTACATTCAGGTATGTTTATTGGTAACGATGTGGTCGGACCTAGACCTAGGCACCAGCGGTCCGTTGCCCTTATTAACACTCGTCAGGCAGGGGTAGAACAAGGCAAATGTCCAAAACAATTGTAGCAGTGAAACGGCTTGTTTTCAGAAGTTCGCTTGATTCCCATACTGTTTATCAGTGGTGTGTGAAGCTCCGATATTTTCCACGGCTCCACTCACCGACGATTTCTCGGACTCGATCACTCTTGCTTAAATTCTTTTCTATTTGGAATTCGGTCGTTATCGGCAGCTCAGACCACCCGGAATTTTTAATGTGTTTGTTTCACCTCACACCACGTGTACAATGTTTGTTCCCAGGTCGTCGTGGAGCGTCACCCTCATTCACAGATTTCCGAGATTGACAAACACAAATTCCTTGTCCCAGATGACATCTCCGTCGCCCAATTCCTCTGGATCATACGCAAACGTATCCAGCTCTCTGAAGAGAAGGCATTGTTTCTTTTCGTCGGAAGCACTATCCCGCAGTCTAGGTGAGATACCTTTTTCGAGACAATGCAGCTATTACGATGAACTATTCTTATCGTTTCTTATTGTTTCAAATGCACAGTGGTCCTATTTATAGCGACTGTTTATGGGTACCTAGCGGAATAAGTCTCTTCCGGTGGAGCTGACCGCACAACTTGCTAGCTCGCACTGAGTCCCTGCCGTCATCGTTGTACGGCAGTGAAGCATTGGTGTTGAACACTGGTGTCATGTTGTCGTTGATGATGATGATGTAACTAATTAACTACGCTCTGAGAAAATCTGTTGTCTGTGTCTGACGGGATTCGTACGCTTTTCGAGCCAGTCCCCACTGTGCTTCAGTCACAACAGTACGAGGGTGTGGTGTCGATTTTGGTCCGGAATGTCTTTTGTCACTTACTGAATAAACCTCAAGGTATTTGCTGGATTGTCCTCACTTGAGAACCATATACAGCAATGGTTCCCTGTTTATTCTATGATTAATTTGGCAACTATACGCATGTACGTTGGTTCGCAGTTTACGGCATTGAATAGTGTTGCATGTAAGCGGACTGTGGTTGAAGAAAACAAATAAAAACGAAAGAATGCTCAGTCAATAATTAGGAATAAGAGGATGGATGCAACACCCCCACTGGTTGTTTGACTTTGTCACATCAGTGAGTGCCATTGTAGCATACTGAGTCTCACCCTCGCAAACGACGCGCCCCAGCACAGCCAGGACCACCACGGTGTCTTGTAATTGAAGTATATTTTAAAAAAACGGGAGACAGTGAGGCAGTTGGTTACCTGGCATACAAGGCACGTGTCCGAGCCAACGTAGCTGGTGCAGTCGGATCAACTCAAATGAACAAATAGTTGGTTTGTTGCCATAGCCCATTCGCAGCACTTCGTCATTGATAGTCCACTTTGCAAGGCGTCGATGGTCAAATGAGAGTAATCTTTTGTCCTCAACGCACAGTGAATAGGCTTCACTACCGTAAAGCAACACTAGACGCACTTCGCGGTGTAGACGCTTCCTTTCACTAACAGGTTAATGTCACGTTGATCCCAGGAATGCCTAATTTCAAAGATAGCCCTGGCGATCCNCATTCACTTTCAATTCTACCATCGTATGTGGTTTACCTACCCGGAAACGTAAATCTGTCCACTATCTATGGTACTGAGTGTTTCTACAGGACTGGATGAGGTCAAACCTCATTTTGCAAACCACCCAATCCGCGTGGTAGATGCATTTCTTTACCCAGTCATGTATATAAATTTCGGTGGATTGGCTGAAGGCCAGAACAGCTTTTGCCAACCTTCGGCACCAGTTGCGTCTGTCAGGGCACAGCGTACACTGCGGCACTGCGATCCACACTGCTTTACGGGTCAGAAACAGCCTCTACGCGTAGAGGATCTACAAAAATTCTGGGTGTTTGGCTATCGGTTTCTCCAAAGCACTGATCTGGTCTGGTGGGGACATCGGACGAGCAATGCTGAGGTGGACAGTCTATGACCTGACGATGGATTTTAAAAACACTAACGAGTAGACTCAGTCGAGTTTGCTAGTGCCACATCTCTATATCGAGACCAACTCAACCAGCTCAATTCTTCAAGGTTAATGGCACCAGATAGACGTGGTTCATTCACACAATCGGTTTGATCAGATCTATAGTCTTCCATGAGTAGCTGCTCAGTTCACAGTTTATTCATACAATCGACGGACTATGCCATCGTCTTTAGTGTCTATCTTCGCTGATTCCCCATTCTGTGGTAGCCAAAACCAAGGTCCTTTCGGTGCGTAGCTGATAGCTGGTCGACTGAACCGAACTGTCTAAACTTTGTTTATAGTTCATAAACTGAACTTCTTGAATAGATCTAACAGTGAAGTTAGGTTGCACTACCATAGGGCCAAGTAAGGACTTCTTGTAGTGAATTCCTACTGTGTATGTAGGTTGTATTTTCGATGTGAAATTTGACGCCCACGTTGTCAAATGCTGTCACAAAGAGATCGGAGCTCACGGTGGTGTGACGGTTTGTGCACCTTCATAACTCACTGAGCTATATTTGGGAGTGTACGCGTGACACTCACAGAGCCTTCATTCCACGCTCATCAATGGGTCTGACGGTCTTAAGCCAACTACCCCTGCCTTACGGTTAGTCTTTTGAGCTAAAGGCTTTGGTGATCCAGAAGCCGTTGCAGCTGGTTCTGCTAGGGTTGGCATTGTTCTAAGACATCAAGCCGAAGGGTCCCTGTACTGTTCGTTGGACGATGTCTGTGAAAACATTCCGTTATCGCGCGGATAATTGTCCATTTTATCTGCTTACGCCCCAACAGACTGTAGCTCTGATACACTCGAAGACAGTTTGTACGATACCTTGTTGTGGCTTTGTTGTGGCGGGCCAAGAGCTCAGATATTGTTGTACTTGTCTTGGATGTGAATGCGTAAGTAGGCAAACCTAGTGCTGCTGAAGGGAAGGAGACGCACAGGCAACGGCGAATGCCTGTTGTGGTAATGTGCTAACCGTAGACTGTTTCTATCCAGTATTAACTTCCGAAATAACCGAAGTCGGTCGGTCACATGGTGCACTTCACATGCGATCCAACCTCCAACACAGACAGACCACATCACCAATAACTGTAGCTGGCGTGCGTCGCTCGATCTGAAACACTTATGTGGGATGGAATAATGTGCGTGTTCGCAGCTGCTTTCAATTCCACTTTTCAATGGTTTACAAGGGGCGCACATTTCACGTGGCCATTGAAAAGCTCTCGAACACTGATGTGAAGGAGGCCTACTAAAACTACCCACTAAAGTCCCTTTCATACAGCAACTCTTTTGATGATGAACCTTTCTGATAGGCACTGTCCACAACCCTGCATGATGCTGGTAAAAATAACTGGATCCCGAGTACCATTCTGAAATTGCTCGGAGCTCGGACACGTATTCCCCGTATTACCACTCAATAAACTGTCAGACGTCAGTTGAAAAGGCCTTCTTTGTGGATGGAGAATTTTGGTTGACCCAAAAGGCTGAGGAGATCGAGGAGGTGAGAAACTCTGGCAATGTGCGTAAACTGTTTCAGCTGTCACGCACAACGGGCCCAAAGAAGCCATCGATGTGTGAAATAATCACCCATAACAGCTTATCTGTGAAAAAGATCTGGATCATTGAGCTAGACGCCTTCAAGAACAATTCAACTCGTCACTTGCAATCGCTCAGCAGATTCCAGATCAGCAACGCAGCCCTGAACAATGGACTTGGAATATCTGTGAAAAGATCTGGATCACTGAGCTAGACGCCTTCAAGAACAATTCAACTCGTCACTTGCAATCGCTCAGCAGATTCCAGATCAGGCACGCAGCCCTGAACAATGGACTTGGAATTCCAGACTACTTCGGAAATAAGTGAATGCCTTTTCTCTCTAAGGCGTCACCGAGCTGCTGGTCCTGTCGATC